AGTGATGGAGTTTACTTTCAAAAATTACTACTAAGTAATATCAGCTGTGTCAGAGCAGTAATACCGCAGTATTAACCTACCCAATATAACTGTGTAAAATTAGTCTGCGTGCTATTATTTAGACTCATCACGATTTCTGATCATATCAGCTTTTAATGTAGAGTGCGGGAACTATTTGCAGAATAAATTACACAGTCCTACACATATACTTTATGACTCCACATTTTTGGAAAAAAAGATCAAAACTACTTATATAACATCATTTTGAAATTTAATTTTAAAGCTGCAAAACAGAATACTTTGAAATCCTGCAGATCTTTTAAAGTTATCATAAGCATGACAAATTTTTAATCAAAATATATTCACTGATCCCCTGAAAAAATTTATGAGGTCACCTCAAAATTTTGTCTAATAAATCCTATCTAAAATGTGCAAAATATGATATAACATACTTGTGATTTATCGTTTCAATATTATATTTTGGATTGGCTTATACAGGTGACTCAAAAAAAATATGTGTGAGCCAATTTATTTTATTGAATAAATCAGAAACTGCAAAACCGAATGCTCTAATATCTTGCAGACGTTTTAAAGTTATTGTAAGCATAGTAGATTGTTAGAACAAAATAACTGTTTATTCCTCCAAAAAAATTGCTGAAGTTTTTTTAAAATTTTGCCGAATAAAACTGACTTAAGATGTAAAATATGAGTTTTTAATTTAGAAATTATTCCTCGATTCTCACTCAGAAATCACTGAACAACAAGTATGCTGATTATTGTAAATAGGATAAATTAAATGGAATAAATGGACAAATTGCACAAAATATTTCATGGGACTATGTTGCTAGTACCGTCGATTTCAGTGAGTTTTTATTATTAAAATGTCATTAAAATGCAATCTTCTACTGAGATTAGATGAAAAAGCGAAGGCCTGCATGTTCTTCAAAAGCTAATTTAATCAGTAAGTTGTACAATTTTCCATGGCTAATCCAAGGACGCGATCGTCGAACTGAGACGGAATCTCTCGCGACAAATTGGACTAAGCCCTAATTTTAAAATACGATGTTTAAAGCGTTTTATATTGAATGGGGGCAATGCAACGATTTGAAAAACAATACTGACCAATATCCCTCGTTTACCTGCACAAATGCATTGTTCAATAATGCAGCACCCTGTATAAGCACTATTTTGTATTATGGAGAATATCTGAAAAAATGATATCCAAAAGTAATTTACTTATGATGTTATTTTGAATCGTACATCTACTTCACTTACACGATAATTTCAATCCCAAACTAGCGCTCTAATGTATGGGAATATCTAGAGTACATAACAAGACGAACACTTACAATACATTAATTATGTCAGCGAATATCAATAAACGTTGCTGCGAAATTATAGTCCCAAATAGTACTAATTATAACAATAATTATCAATGATTCACTTAGATGAACTGAACAATCAACATTCATCGTTGTATGACATGCAGTTTAATTACTCCTGTCCCAAAATAAGTATCCGATTTCTGCATCTTGTTAAATATTACCTACATTTTTAAAGATGAAGAATGAAGATGTTTATGGTTTGTTCAAAACTTACTTGGTGTAGTTCAAATTCAACATTTTAATACAAAAAAAAGCTTTGAAGTAAGTGTAAACCGGAATATTAAGCGCCGGAGTTAAGCAATCCGCGGGTATAGGAGTGGGTTTCAACGAAAAATAAGTCGAATTTAAATAGCATGAAAGACGGCAGCTTTTCTTTTGCAACATTTTTATAATTTATATTTTATTTATGTATTTTTGGTTTATTGTGGAATATAACATTTATCCTGTAATTGTGTAGTGTAAAGCTACTGTTGGATAAATAAATATTATTAGGATTATTAATACTATTAATTATATTATTAACATTTAATAAATGCAGATGTGAGGTAAAAAAAACTGGAGAAATCGATTCTAAGCAGTCTCTCTTTATATTGCCTTTACGGAATGTAGAACAACAACGCAATAAATGAAAACAATTGAAAATACAATTCAAAATTTAGTATTTCAATTATTTAATTTAAAGTATTTATTTAATTTTCAGAAAATTTCAATATTATGTTAAAACTTATTATAAGATGTTATATTTATTGTAATAGTAAGAATTCTTCAATAAAAACTTAATGTTTACTTTGTTTAAAAAAATAGCTTTTTTTTAGAAAGCGGACACTTAATTTGGAACACAAGAAATAATTTTTGAAAATTTAAAACAGTGGCGCGGGAAATCTTAGGAATATAGCAGTGGGAGAATTGAAAGTAGACAAGATAAGGGTAGACGTTGACACAAAGGAAAAATATTAATGGGCACCCTACACGGTCAATCGGAATGTCAATCTAACTGAATCTATCAGATTGTCATTCTTTCAGTCACATTCATTAATCCATTAATCTTGCCCTAACACGATCAATCAAATTGTCATTCTTTCGCTAGACTGTCAACCTGATTGACCTTCTAGGGTGCCCATAAAAGAAAGAGAGAAATATAAATTGTTGCAAATTTATACAAAAGAAAAAAGGCGAAGACTAAAAGGTGGTATAACGAGGAAGCTACTTATAATTGAATGGGTACAGCACTCTTGAAATTGAGTATAATACAGTTACAAGGAAAAATAAAAGATCGACAATCTGCAATACAAAATATAACGAAACTATTTGTAAGAAGTTACCAGGATATACTGCTGCAACACAACTTTGCAGCACCGACTTGCAACCTCATTGCGTCAACCAACACTTAATTTTCCAACTGCAAATTGTAGCATCGAGTTGCGGCACTTCTACTAGCTGACGCAAGTGGTTGCTGTACTTCCCTCCAATAACTCGAAAAAATGACGGACGCCCGGCAAGTGTTGGTGGGTATTGCTGTCTGTATTCGAAAATTCCAGTAAAAGTGATGGTGAGAGTGAAGAAAGATTACCGAGAGAGCTAAGGTGTCGTAAATGCGTTCTCTTAGCATTAACGTAAATTTTGAGTTTGAAATTGCACAAAAACTGTTAACGCAAGTCCATGCCGCAAACTTCAGTTGCGTTGTTGCATGTTGCGTGAGTTGACAGATGGCCACCTTGAAATTGATCCTTTAGATGTCAAGACAAAAATAAAGCTATCGTTGACAAAGTAAAAATTCTTAAAAATTTTAGTTGTCCTTTTTACTTCCTTAATGTAAGCCAAGGGCGGCTGTACATAGCAAAATAATAATTTTCAATATTTAAAAAATTATCGGGAAATTTGTGTCATAATTATCAAAACTATTTTATCTCGCTCCACTTGTATAAAATGTATCAAAACTTACATTCACTTACATCTAAAGAGGTGTCTTGGATGTATGATATGTTATTTCTGATGAAATGCTAATAAAAGCTGGGAACTGAGACTGAATTATGGCTGATTTGGACGTTTTGTTTACTACGCTGATGTGGAAACCTCACGTTTTAGCCGCCTGATTCACCTGGACTGCGGTCCCGTTCCGACCGTGCTCGGCAGCATTGAGTTACTATCGCGGGTTTTAATTTTCATTCTGCGCGAACACGTATGATAAATATTCTTGGATAATCTCTCGGTAATACAGACATTCGCAAACAACTACACACCACTTGTATTAATAATATTCGGGCACATAACGCAAGGGTCGACAAAAATCTCCATATATTACGCCGATTGATAATGTCCATAAAATTTTGTGGAGTGTTTGAATTTGCTTTACGTGGACATGACAAAAGTAGGGAATCACAAAATTGATTGATTTTATTGCTGAATTGGACTTTATCGGATCATTTGAAAGAAACAACGGTTTTTAAAGGAACGTCTATAACTGTCCAAAATGAACATTTAGATGCCATGAACGTAAAATTGTGACCGAAGGCAAAAAGGTATGTGAAGAAATACTTTATTATTTTGATTGAATGTATTTTGGTATTTATTTCCGTCACACAATTTCGTCTATAAATTGGTAACAACAACCTGTTTTATATCTTCATATTTAACTCATCACTCAAATTGTGTCCCCCCATTTCAAAAGGTCACGAGCGGCCACTGATGTAAGCTAAGCAAATATTGTAATAGTATCCATTTCTGCAATTCCTTTTTTAATTCCACAGTAGTTGTGTGGCGATTTCTCAATGCCAAATTGATCTCTTTAACTTGTTTGTCTACGGGGACCAGCTCCCAGATGTCTCAATTAACATGCTGATCAGGACACGAAATCAAAAATAAGCATGACAAAGCACTATATTCAAAAAAATATAAGGCGGCTCGTTTTTCGCGCGGGTCGATGTATTTTGTTGAAAATAGCCTCATCACTTACTGCCATGTGATTCACTTAACTTGACCCATGAAACCTGGACCAGCTGAACAATGTTAGATTTAGACATGCCAGGCACAAATAGATCAGGGGCTACTTTGAGTAATTTTCCGCAGTTCGGGGCATAAGATTTTCTGCAGCTTCGCACATTGTTAGTAATTATTTATTATCGTGAAAATTTGAACTTCAAATATTACACTCTGACATTTGTTGTACCAACCACGACAAAATTCCCCAAATTTTAAAATTTACAACCTTTGGTTTAAAATAGAAAAAAGGTACGAAATAGAAAAAAAGTACAAAATATGAGTTCCATAAAGCTTCCTATTTATTTGCAAATACAGAAATCGGAAATATTACATTATAAATTAATAATTAAACTCTCAATGTTAGCTAATCGTAGACATGTAATTCTGATGTAATTTCAGTCGAGTTTCCCTCTCGAACTTAAACCAATCGAAACGTGCAATTAAACAAAGTTTGCCGAGTGTTTCTTTAACGCACTTTAAACTACCGACAGCAAACTGAAATTTAACAGTAATTTGACCCAACTTCCTAATTACAATTACAAAGGAAGCGCTAACCAAAGCCGATAAAGTAATAAAAGATTTTACGACTTTGATGTTAATATAATTTAAAAATAAACAAATATACAAGAATCTCACCTGTTTAAAATAGCTTCGATTCCAGAATAAGCTAAGGATCTGTCGCTGACAAAATTGTCACGTTTTTCTCTGGATCTGCCCACAATAGGTGGATAAATGCTGGTGTTGTTAGTATATTGGGGTGCTACGTACTGAAACTGCAAGTTCCATCCCCAAGCCATTGATTGTTTCAAACCAAGAGGGATCGGCATTGCAAAACCAAATACAATCTAAACAATAAATATATTACAACAACAAATAATCGTGGAACGTTTACTAGTTAGTATACTGTGTAAATTTTTATTTAGTAAATTTAATCATTTGTAAAACACTCCAGAAACTCTCCACCACAATAAAACCTTATGAATAGAGCAAATTTTAATAAAATATTATCATATCACGCGTCAAGGTTTACCAAAACTGTTATTAAATTTGTATTTTGTATTGTACTAAAAGCAGTAAACATTCGAAGCAGAATCTCAACTAAAGTAGATAGTTTGTTTGATCTAAATATGTATTATGCAGTTAAATTTAATGCACACTAACAAAGTATACTGAAGTGTTCGTGAACTGATCAATCAAAGGTATGTGAGAATGATATATGTAGTATTTAATACCTTACCTTGAATGAACCACCCCTTGGATAATACAAAGGCAGCGCATACCTTCTATGTCGCTGCGAGTTCTTTTCAGTCGAACACAATGAAAAACTCAGCAGCAAAATCACTAAGCAGATTACCCTAAAATTCTGTGGGTAATAATTTCGGGGATACATTAATTAGTAATTTTCATTTATTACAAAGTTAGTTACATTAAACAATATTAACTAATGCAGCAGAAGGAATTCACTAACTGTGGCAAAACTGACGCCAGCGACATGCTAGCAACGTTAACACAAGAGGTCACTAACTGTTTTCACGTGTAAAGGACTTCATAAATATTAGCATTTGTTATTAGACGTTGTCACTTTGTAAAGACATTATTAAATACTTACAGAAGCGGAGATTCAACTGCTAACAGGTTTATTTGTACACATATTATCACCATTACTTTTAAAAAATGGGTGCAAAAAGGTTGCCGATAATAATCAACACTAATTAATTAACTACGATGACTATAAAACTTGACGAACACTAAAATAGTAGTTATTGTTTAAAAAAAAATCAGTTTTTCCGGTGAAGATAAATTGGTTATAATCCTAGTCCCAAGGTTTTTCGGACAATTTTTACGGGAACTGCCACTAGCTCCTTGAAGAACGCGTCTGATTGTGAAGCCGATAGTGACTATCATATTGACTTATGAACCTGAAGTTGATCCATTAGACTGCACACTATCTGACATAAATAGTGATGTATTAGAAAATTTTACAATACCCACTAAATTGAAAAATGAAAGCAAAAATCATATCGCTGAAGTCAAAAATCGGAATCATATTTAGATACATATATAGACGATGGATCATTTTTCGAAAACGATTTCAAGAGTAGACTAAAACTGTACTATGATGCATTTTGCGACCTACTTGGTGAAAAAAATGTTCAGATAAATTTAATTCTGGGGAATGTAAGAAAACTCTTACTACACAATTTCGATGGGCAGATATGCCAGGTACAGAGTAGTTTTTGGAACATAAACAGAACAGAAATTTAAAAATATTGGTTCCCCTAATTATTTAACATCAACACGTTACATACAAAAGTTATAGAGAATCAAAAACTGTATCTAAATCAATATTTAATATTTTTCTAGCACCTTATGGTATTGAAATAAAAAGAAAAAAAATCACGATTTGTAACACTAGTCGTTACTTTGACATTTTGGCTATTTAGTTAAATTCATTATTCCGATTTTGGGTTTAAAACAAACATTAAATAATGCTTTAAATGCAACTACAATGATTACACAAAGTCTACTGTTCAAACACAAGAACAGCTTCAATTTTTTTCAACACTAGCACCAGGATTATTCCGTTGACACCTGCAGAATTTGTTTACAGCACAAACTTGCGCTTCAAATTGTTGTAGAACTCTCTCGATTATTGATGATCCTAGAATTTGTCAGTTTGGCTACAGTGCTACGAAAGTTCCTGAAATTTTCCAAACTGACTAGCCGCCATAGTACCATTTTAGCCAATTAACTTTGCAAGAAAAAAAGGTGTATAATTAGTGACAAATTAATGAACTGTCAATGAACTGTTACATTTTATAACTATATAGTATTATTCTACCATGCGAATTCTTTTTATTTCAATACCATAAGGTTTTATAAATTAAGTACAAAAGGAATTGGACATGGTTTTTTGTTTTTTAGAATTTTTGTATGTAATGTTTTGCTCTAAAATAATTAAGGGAGCTAATATTTTCAAATTTCTGTTGTTACATGTAAAATTCCTGTTCCAAAAACAATTCCACACCCGTTATAAATCACTCAGATTAGTTGACCTATAAGGTGCATGAAGCTATGTATTTTCGTCAACTACCCCCTAAAGTTGTGTTCTAAAAGAACATACTGAACCCCTAGTACGTGTTAGTGCGTGGCAGTACGTGGGAATCTGTTCCACTTCACACCCGAACTTGAATCTGTCAAAAAAAATATTCCACGACCTGTCGTATCATCGGACAACGATATGATCCATTACCCGATTACTAACGAAATACTTTGTACCAGATTCTGCAAAAAGATGAACTTCTTAAAGAGTTGCGGGATGAACCAAATCTAATTTTTAATGTTCAGAAAAATTCTTTAGTTGGAAAATTTCCTAGTAAAGAAAGGATATTTCAGTAGCTGGTCTTACCGAGTACTGGCTTAGGTCACCCGAAATTGAGGAACTGAAAATTGATAACTACAAAGTAAGATCTTTTCTTTCTCGCAATTTGTCCATTCATGGAGGCTCCCTCGTTTTGGCTAGAAAAGATATATACAGGGTGAACCCTTGCCAATGTTATCCAATTTATCCTCCGAAATGTACTGTGACATATCTGACGTAACACTGGTAAATTATAATATTGTCTTTATTAATATCTATAGCCCACCCAGCGGCGATGTTTATATGTTTCTTGGACTGAATTCAATATATTTTCAGTTGTCAATTTTCCAACTAGAAATAAAAACTGTATTGACAATGTCTTTACGACCATAGATAGCACTTACGAAAACATTACAGCTATTGAACCATTATTATCAGACGATAGAGCAATCAAATTAGTAAATTACAATTAACTTTAGAAACCCAAAGAAAATAGGTACTATCCAGAAATACACACCCATCCATTTCGTACATATCACATCAGTGACAAAAATTAATTTATTTTGATCGTGAAAAGAAACTGACAAATGCGATGTCAATCAATAGTAGTTTTTTTTATAAATAAATCAAAACTACGAGGCATATTTAAATTAAAAATGTTTGATGCAAATATTTTCATGATTGAATTTAATATCTTACATTTCATCAAAATAATTTACAAGCCATTTTTAACATTATAATGAAAATTCTTTACAAAAAAGGCCGTCTTGTCGGAAAATTCTAGTAGAATTGCATACAACTATATTAATCCATAACAGCGCCATCTGGCGATTTCACCGACAGGCTGACATAATCAAAATTAATGTAAACCCACGCAAAACGCGATGTTGCTTTATCAGCTAATTAATTGGAGTCGCATTTTCCAGTAAATTGCATACAAAAAGTAAACCTAAAATACACGTATGTACTTAGAGTACTGACAGACAAATATTCTAAGAAACAAGTAATTTTTTTAATTTGTTCATATTTTGTCGTTTTAAGCTTAGTGAAGCGCTTAACTCTCACTGTCCATGATGCACGGTGCTAGATGCATCTGCGTAAGGGTACATACGAGTTGGTTTCCTCCTTTGGTTTTTGAACGTCGGCCGAAAAATGAGTATAGGTATTAATTATTTTGGCTCCGATGCTCCGATGCCGAAGATCAAATTACCTGCTGCGGTGAGGGAATCACGTGTAGATATTTTATTTTCTCCCGTAGAAGTTTTACAATATATCCAAATTGTTTCATACAGTAAAGAGAAGTGAGAGTAAATCTACTTAGTAAAAATTTCTGCTGCAGGATTCATTTCTATATATATAAGTTACAATCATATATTGACTCCGAATGTGGAAGCCTACGAAATTAGTTACCATTATTATTACAAAACAGATCAAAATGAATTTCGGTGATAGAATGATGTTTGTCTTCTATTATTAGATAACTGTCTGATTTAGATCCCGTAACTTTGGTATTGAAGAACACCAAATCCAAAACATGATCACTAAAGTTCCATAATACTGTGAAGTAGGTAGTCATTAAAATTTTGAACGTAAAATGGTCGATTAAAATCCCCAATTAGTATGACATTATTCTCATAGATTTCCTCATTAAGAGCTAGGAGATCCAAAAATAACTCGAATTTTTTTGCAGATGTAGAGAGCAGGATGTATACCACAAAAAGGTATATGATAACTCTAGATGTTTTAAAAATTTTCGAACCAACTATGTCAATTGTATATCAATTGTTAGAAAGACATCAGTGATTCTAGAGTGGTCAATGGACGCGCAATTAACATATTACTGATTGCGAGTAATGCACCACTCTAGATTTTTGATTAATTTTCGTGTGTCTGGCTTGGTGAATTATGTATAACAAGCTGGACAAGGTTCTGAACTATTAATATTACTTACTGTGGACCCAGGTCTCTGTTAGCGCTATGAAAGAAAACATATTTAACCAAATAGCATTGTAAAAGTGATCCATTTTTGAAGGGAGTCCTCTGACGTTTTGGAAGATTATGAAATTGGAGATATCGTAATTGGATCAATTGCCCGTTAGTTAATCTTTGTTGTAGATCCTGTTTAACTTTTTTATAATGGTTGATTTGTTTTATATCAAGATCAAATGATAAATTTATATTACGAAAATTGTCATTTCAACCCTTCTTTGAGTATAAAATTTGGATGGGCGACCTTAAAGACCTGTCTAACATAATGCCGTTCTTTTTCCTCACGCTATTCTTTTGCAATTTTTTTTGTTGCTCAGATACATTGAACAATACAGGGTTATTCAGCTAAGATGACCCATTTGTGTTTTTAAAGTAGGCAACCCATAATACCGATTCCACTTGAGCCTGGATTACAAAAAATGTTTCAAAATTGAATTGTATTGTTACGTTTGACGGGCGAATAATTAATCGGGCGTAGGTAAAACTCAACGATTTATTTCTTAATAACTGGTATTTACACGACTAACTATTGTAACGATTATGTACAGAAATTATTCCGGCGAATTTCACTGGACGCTCTTGGCTGACTTCACTAGCTGAATAATGAATGAGTCATTCCCGACGGTGGCCTCTATTCAAATCCATATTTCGGAGATCCAGCTCTTTCTCGAATTGGGTATTCGCGACTTCCGCTTCCAGGCTTTTCGAGTGCCGCTTCGAGACTCCTTCTGGGTCCGTCCCGACATCCGCTGTATCCGCGCGGCCGCTGAGTCAGACTACATACGAGAAACAACGCGTATATACTAGAAGACACATAGGCGTCGTACCGGGGCGGCGTATGGGCTTATTTCGTAACATTGCCCCCTCCTTAGTTCTGATCGTCCCGATCAGAAACGTCGATGGTGTCCCTGTTGTCCTTCATGAGGCGGTCTAAATGGACGATCTTCATTTTCGTCTTCGGCCCTCGTCGAATTCTGTAAACGACATCGTTGATTCTCGTCACGACAGTATATGGACCTTCCCAGTCTGGTGATAATTTCGGGCAACGACCTTTCCAACTTCGAGGATTATAAAGCCATACCAAATCCCCTGCCTGGAATCCTACTGAGTTACCCTTAAGGTCGTAGCGTGTTTTCATTCTGTCACTCGCCACCCGGATCTTGTGGCGCACCGTTTCGTGACCGCTCAACAGCTGCTCCTTCAAGTCATCGACGTAATGTATGACCTCCTTTGGTTCTTCACTCGGAGAGCCGAACAAGATGTCATAAGGCAGACGAAGTTCTCTTCCGAAAACTATCCGCGCCGCTGTCTGACCCGTCGTGTCATGGACAGCTGATCGATAAGCCAGTAGGAACAGTGGAAGATGTCGATCCCAGTCTTTCCGATGCTCGGCCACCACCTTCGCAAGATGTTCTTCCATGGTACGATTGAACCGTTCTACCATTCCATCGGACTGGGGGTGCAGCGGGGTAGTCCGTGTCTTCCGTATCCCTAGTACTTCAGTGATCCTTTGGAATAGATTTGACTCGAAGTTTTTGCCTTGGTCTGAATGGAGTTCTATTGGGACCCCAAACCTGCTGATCCAGTTGTCAATCAGCGTTGTTGCAACCATCGTGGCTTCTTGGTTCCGGATGGCATAAGCTTCGGGCCACTTGCTGAAGTAATCGCTGACGACCATTATGTACTTATTCCCATCCTCGGTCACCGGGAAAGGACCTGCTATGTCCACTGCAATTCTTTCGAAAGGCGAACCAATGTTATATTGTTGCATCGGCCCTCTCGCTCTAGTTCGCGGTCCCTTGGCCGCCGCACAGCTCGTACATCTCTTGCACCAGCTCTCAACGTCTTCTCGGCAACGGACCTAGTAAAATCTCTCCCTAACTTTAGAAAGCGTCTTGTTGATTCCGAAATGAGCACCAGGGCCACCGTTGTGCATCTCTCGAAGTATTTCCTTTGTTCTAATGGCCGGAACAACCAACTGCATGATGGTATGTTTCCCATCCGGACTCTCCCAAACTCGCTTAAGCAATCCATTCTCGATACACAGGGAGTCCCACTGAGCCCATAACGCCTCGAAAGAGGGTGACTCGTCTGATATTTCCGACCAAGCTGACCGTTCTGCCCGTCTTCTTTCCATTTGAGCAACGGCCCGATATCCGCGTCCTCTTCTTGGTCTTTTCTAAGCTGGGCTGTAGTCCATTCTTCGTCTTCGGTGACTGCTGTCCTACCACAGTTGACTGACGTTTCACGCTGCTCGATCTTGTCGCAGTGTTTGCAGTTCTTACATGGTCTTCTCGACAAAGAGTCCGCATTATTGTGGAGCTTACCAGCCCTGTGTCGAATTTTGAAGTGATACTGTTGGAGTCATTCAAGCCATCTAGCCACTTGTTCTTCGGGATTTTTTATCTGAAGGAGCCATGTGAGGGCTGCGTGATCGGTTCTAATCAGGAATTCGCGTCCATAGAGATACTTATGGAAGTGTTCAACAGCCCTGACAATCGCCAGCAACTCCTTCCTCGTAACACAGTAGTTCTTCTCGGGTTTCGAAAGTACACTGCTGAAGTACTCGATAACTTTTTCTTCCTTGTCCTGCACCTGTGACAATACAGCACCTATTCCGATGTTGCTAGCGTCCGTGTCCAAGATGAACATTCCCGATGATTGGGGATAGGACAGAATAGGACTAGAGCATAGTGCGTTCTTCAATCATTTAAAGGCTGCTTCACATTCAGCAGTCCAATTAAACTGAGACTTCAAATCCGTCAGCCTGTGCAGAGGAGCAGCAATATCAGCAAATCCGTTGACAAACCTTCTGTAGTACGTGCACAATCCTAGGAAACTACGGACTTCGTGTTTATCTCTTGGTCTTGGCCAATCGCGAATCGCATTGATCTTTGTTCCCGTAGTCTTGATCCCGTTTGCCGAAACAGTATGCCCCAGAAATTCTACTTCTTTTTGAAAGAGGAGGGACTTCTTCGGGTTCAACTTCAAATTTGCCTCCTTCATTCGGCTAAAGACCTCTTCCAAGTTGGTCAAGTGGTCCTCAAATGTCTTTCCCATTACCAAACATGTTTTCCAGGTTAACCCTCGTAATACTATCTCCATCGGCCTTTCAAAAGTAGCCGGAGCTTTGACTATGCATTCTTACTATAATAACGAGAAAACCGAGATGTTTGCCGAATCTAAAAGAGATTTTTGTGGGCAAATTGTGTTTTTTTATTGCCTGGTAGATGAACGAAACACATTCAATAAATTTAAGACTGTCATGCAACTATAATAAATTGCTGACTTTGGCTTCATCACAGAACAAAACACACTCAATAAAATTGAGATTCTCATTAACCAAGCTAGTCCCAGTCTGGTTTCGTTTCCACAGACCACTTTCTTACGCAACGAATTTTCTATCCTCTTGAAAATTTTCGATGTTGGGGCCTCACGGTCAGGGTATCTTCGGGCATACAATTGTGCTGGACGCCTAGCATTTTTGTGTCATTTTCCATAACGTGTCCGTAACTAAGGATCATGTCGGTTTCTCGTTGTTGAATGCATAGGCGTTTTTCTGACACTGACGTTGACTGACGCTTCTATACATTTAGCAAAGTTTGATACAATTTAATTTTGAAAAATTTTTTTGTAATCCAGGTTCAGGTGGAATCGGTATTTTGGGTTGCCTATTTTAAAAACATAAATGGGTCATCTTAGCTGAATAACCCTGTATAATATTTTTGGATCTATTTTGCATTCTACGTAATACTTATATGTTAAAATTATTAGGTGTAATCGATCAGACATGTTTTGTGTTACTTCCTGCGCGTATTAGCTATTAACATACCTAGGAATGTAAATAGTGCCATAACCGCCGCAGCCGTAAGACAGCTAAGGCGGTTAGGCACCGTTTATATCCGTGATGTGTTCAAGATTTTATCGGTTTCTGCCTATTTTAATCCAATAATCCAAAAATTAATTAAAAAATAAATAAATTTTGTTAATCACGTTTGCATGATATATTTCGGTGTCATAGTTACATTTCTTTGTTTACTCAAAAAATTGTTTTTAACAGAATTAGAAGAATGATGGATTTAGGCGACGTATTGCCCGAAAATGTTAAAAATGCAGCCACTCAAGAATTAAACAGTTCAAATAAAACCGGTAAAGTTACTTATTATTGCTTTTCACATTCATTGCTTTTCAATTCCTTGACAAATGTTGATAATTGACGTTTCGGTATTATTACCCAACCGATTTTACATGCAGGATACAGATATGATTTTTCTACCAGCCAACTTTTATTAATGTAAACATGTATGTATTTAACAGACAGAAACCGGTAAACATAACAATTTGCCTAATTTCGCTAAATTATCTGTTTACGTTTTTAACCTCGATGATCATTATTTATTACTGCTCACTATGATAGTGGGTAAACTATTTGCTTACAAATTCGTTTTAATTAAAACGTATGACTCTGGCAATACATGTAATTAAAAGTCCACATTTTTTATGGCAAGTCTGTAATTAAAAACACACATCAAGCCTAATTTTTAACTCAAAACTATGCTGCTAGAAAAACTCACTTTTTTTTTAATTTTGAATGTTGCTCGGCAGCATTTATATCCACAGCTCGAAAACAAGTAACCAATAATCGAAGCATTAAACTGTCAAAAGCTGTGCAAATGTCAGCAGGAATTCCTCGCTGTGCTTTTTTCGCGATCGTTCTCCGTTTTAATGTTATTGATTGCGTTTCCTCGTCAACAAGTCAACACGGAACAAGCACACCATCGACTATTGAAGATCAGCAATCACCGACGACGGTAACAAACTCATTTACTTCCCACGACGACAATACGACCGCACCCTTATGGCTGGCTGAAGCTCTCAGAGATATCGCTTATTACTTACGGGCACACAAATTCAATGAGTACGACAGGAGATACGAACCAGATGCAAAACTGGCGCGCAGGGAGTATTACAGGTAAAGATAGGGTGGAAACAACCCGTTTGTTGCTTCGTGGACACCTAACAGTTACTGTGATAGAAATTTAATGACTAGGTCAGCGGAACAGAGGTCAACAAATCAATAGCAGTTAATTTAACTATTAGAAGATAGATTTTAGCAAATCCATAGCCAGGACAACTTATTATTGAATAATCGCACTAATTGCCTCTTTCGCAAATTTCATATTTTCATGTATTTTATATTTGGTGAATGATTCCATTGTGTAAAAGGTAAAGCAGGTAATTTTTATATACTATTATTATTTGTCGCTATAATACTATAGGTAAGTATTAAACTACTTACCCACTCTTTTATTTCTATCATTTATAGAGACCAACTATAAAACAAGTACATTTACACTTCGTTCCAATTTGAACGCATAGAATGTAATAACTAAGTTCTAAAAATTATGAAAATTCATTTAATAATAATTAATTTAATCACGATCAGAACGAGTATTTAAAAAAAAAAACAGATGCCTAGAGAAGTTTATAAACGTATTACATATATACTATGCTTTTTCTACGACTTCAAATTAAAACGATAATAATTATCCAAGGTTGGAAAGCACGCGAACAAAACATCTTCCGAAAAGGAATCGTTGCCTCTTCGATTTCAAGTGGAGTTCCTATCAAAATGTTTTTTTCGGTAATGTTTGCATCCGCATGTGTTAACACTATCGCTTTATTTAAGCGATACCAGATATCGGTTTGAAATGACAGTAGTGACAGTTTTTTACTGAATCCGTGTTTAATGAACACGAAAACTGCCGAACGCACTTAGAACGTGACTAATGAGCCCAAACGCATCTACGGCCCGTGTTTAATAGGGCCACAGTCACGGATTATGAAAGAATGGTTAAAACATCGTTTAGCGCCGTGCATTTTACGTCTGCTAAATAACGTTTTAGAGATGGGAAAATGCATTGCTTATAGGTTTTCTAGGCTGATAGCTCAAATTATAACACAGTAAAGATAAATGGAAATGTTTCAAATGCTGAACTTGTGTAGCACAACGTTTGAGTATAATTGCAGAAAATATACAAACAAAAATGTTTTAGAAACCCGATAGCTTTGGAGGTGAACACAATCAGTGAGTTTTAACTAGTTTAGACATAATTTGAGTTACAACTTGTCAGCAGAGGTTTTACATCAATTCACCATTTCACACTCAATTTGAGCCAAAGCTTCTGGACATGCTTACATTCCAATAAGCAAAGTTACTTTTAAATCTTCAAAAGAAACCCAAAATGAAAAAAGTTTCACTGTAAGTGCAATGTGAGTAATGCTTGTTTAAAATATTTTTAACAATAATTTATAATAAGCCGAAAGAAATTGTTTTTATACTTAATCGTGAAACAGTCTCGTTCCCTAAGTAACAACATTGCCTGCAGATCTAAAAAGTACATATTACACGTTCTTATTTTTGCATTGACACGTAAGAGTCGTCGCCGCAACTAAAACGTATGCGCAAGTTTTATCTAATGTCTTAAATCCAGAACTTTGTTTCGATTATTTTAAAATAAGTAGACAAAAAGTTTATTTGCACAATATAACAATTTAGTTCAAAAGCTTTAACGAAAAACTCGCGAAAAATGTGGGGCTCATCCTCAAGTTGCTCATGTCCAAGGCCTTACCTCGCACAGCTACGACGCATTTGTATTACATGTGCTTGAGACATTGTTACATGAAACCTGCAGTAAACATTGCACAAATATCCTCGTAAAGTATTTGTGATTAAGGCTCAATGCGAATTCATAAACCACTAGTATAGGAGTATGCTATTTCATAAAATTACAAATTTTTGAGGAAATTCCATCACTTTGTTGATGGAGATAATTATAGATACATATTTTAGTTACGCATTTTACCATCTACACGATATTCTGAAAATACATACAAAATTTGACAACAATCGGTCCAGTAGTTTCGAAAATGATCTATCTGTCTAATAAAAATCGACACAGACAGACAACAGACAGAAAGAAGAAACCTCTTTCTTTTTTCATACTCTGTGGGGTCATAAAACGTCGAAAACATTAAAGTAGCCAGTCAACCCATGTTAGAAAACTGCAATATATAATAAACGTCATTGTGTTCGACTATTTCACTATCACTTAAACCGTGCGCGACTGAGCAAATCAATAACCAGAACTTTAAGAACTATTACAATAAATTCATAGAAAAAACCATTATGTTTGTATTGTATTTATATCGAACGTGATGAATATATCATTTACTTAAAACGTCTATGTGTGACCAATACGATGTGTAGAATTCATATCATCATGGCCTTATAAGTAGGTCATTCTTCCGATAAGAAATACACGAACTCCACGGATGACTGTAAAACACAAACGCTGTTTCGCCAGCAAATGAAACCTTAAACTGATTCCAGTCTCACAATTATTCAGCACAGTCCCCCCTGATTGCAGTGTAAATAAAGCCATTTGTCTTTGAACATAAGAAACGAAAATTATATAAACTGTAAACACCTAATGTTGCATTAAAGCATTGAAAAGGGACAGACTTTAAATATAGAAGTAAACAAACTATGTAGTATTATGTAATTTAAACTTCAAGAATGGTTTCTCCAGTTTGGAACTGCCGTTACAATATCAGTTTTTTTTAATTTTGCAATAGTCAGTTGGGTCTACGTATCTAAAGTGAAGTCGCCGGTGTGAGGTACAGAAGGGCACCTCAGGGATAATGCATACTTAAGGCATTACTGAAGGATCAGGAACGGAGCTGATCGCCATGTCGGCGTGTCAGTTATTCTTGTGGCGGGCAGGTTTGGCGGCACCTGTTTTCCGGGCAGACGTCGCTTATACATTCCAGATGTGGCCTGAAGGCATGTTAATTACTTGATCCACTTTAGAACTCCTTGAAGAGGGAACAGCATCGATTTCGGGCGCCAGTTTTTATACGTAGTATACTTCAATTTCAAGATTGTTTAATTTTTTTTTTATTTTAGCGGTTCGGTCCAATTCGAGTCCGAAATGTTGTAACTGGTCTAAGATTGAACTGCGTATCAAAAACCGCGATTAGATTCGACTAAGTCTCTATAAAGCGTCATCTAATGGCCCTGTTATGATTGTGTAGCGTTGGCCAGGTTTGCTCGGCTGATCCAAAATATGATACAAGTCTGTATACCGAAAGTCTGTAATATGAAACTCATGAAATTAACTTGATTTTCTCTAAGTATCATACTTAAAAGTAGTTTTACATTATACTAGGCCTACCTTAGGCCTTATGAAATACCTATATTAAGTACCTTCTTTTTTGTTCATCGATACTAAAACAGATCTGCTGTTTACGCTCTTAGAAGCGTTGCCTGCTACCCTGCTATAAATTTCCTTTCTCCATGGTTTCTAAGCTATTTAAATCATCCTGAATTTCGCTGTGCTAAGATTAATATTTTCTCATATCCACTCAAGGTCTATAATATTTCAAGGTCCCTCTATATGTACTGATTCGACATCCGTACCTTTCCAATCCGTCGAAAACTCAACACACTCGCAACTCAAGAACGAAATCGTTGGAGATTTCACTCTTTGATTTGAAAAAACACTGCTGAGTGCTGACTTTATATTCCGTGACGGTGGATGATCTCTACACAGCATAGCGCTTAATAACAATAAACATTATTCTAATTTCTAACTACAACATACCTTTTCAAAAGGATATTTATTAACACTGATAGGTACTAAAATTATTATTCTCTCTAACATACTGCTTTGAGTATAATACGACGGTTTATTACATGTTTAGTCAGTGGACCCAGTTTTGTCATACCTTAGCTGTTAGTTTAATCGAACCGTAAATTGTAAAAATCTTTTCTGGTAATTTTTAAAAAATAACTAACTTCCACTTGCAAAATTATGTTTTATTTTGTAGAAGCTTTCCCAGACCACCTCTCCGTTCTCTACATTGGGAAGTACACAAGTATTGTGATGAATCTCTTATTGAATGTGCAAACTACTTGAGAAAACGAGTGGAAAACACAGGACTGAAACGAATCGATGATACTGCCGCAGTTATTCATGAACAACAATGGAATGTAAGGAATAACTCGAAACAAATAGAAATTGTGAACCAAGACTGTATAAAGATGAAGGAAGCAGACGACATACAAGCCAATCCATTCGAAGGTAGGGATGGTGTGGAGACAGAACAGACCACTTCAGTTAAGTGGCAAGATTGCTTTTTAAAACATAACTTGCAACTGGTGAAGCTTTGTCGAAACTTAAAGCTACATCGAGACGCTACTAAAAGATTTTCATTTATTATAGACTATTTGGATTGGCCGCTTAACCCAGAATTAATATTTGAGGAATCCAAAAAAAATTAGGACAAATTTGTTTACATTACGATTTATTTTTCGTCTACAAGGTCTTTTAAAAACGAAACAAAAAAATTGTATAGAATAAACTCACACATTGCAAAAAAAAATTATAATAATAAACAATTTATAATGTAACATGTTGCGTTATCTGTGGTTTAAATATGAATCCAAACTTGTAACTTTACGCATATGGGTTATGGTAAACAATTTAGACTAAAATTTATGATTTATATTGAAACTCAACTTTGTACACTTTTTTGAAGCTTTGGTAATACTCTAATGTACCATAAATTCTTAAAATACAGTACTGTCGCTGTTAGTTATGTTGTATGTGTATCAAAAGTGATATATTTGTCCTCAGTAAAAAATGTATAACGTTATCACAAAATTTTGAAAAAAAATAAAAATTGAAACATATACACAGCATAACTTTAGCTTTGGACACACAGGGATTAACATACTAAAAATAAAATTACCATAATCAAATTTTATAATTTATCTACGAACCTGGCTTCGATTGCCAAACACCAACTCTTGTCTAGGTCGGGCGTTTACCAACTCGGCACCTTAATTCCAGTGCGCTGTCATATTCGCTCATCTAGGCATGGCATTAGGTCAGATCCAACAAATAGGAAGCGAAATAAAAATTTATCAGTTAAAAGAATTTTTGTTTTTGTATCGAATGTCATATTAGAAATTCCAAAATTTAGTAGCACATAATACTTATCAGTAGATGTGATGACAAGTTAAAATCATTTTTTTTTTTTATATAAAATCATCTTCTAAACAGATTTATGTGTGTGCTATATAAATTTAATAAACCTATACCACTTTTTCTTTTTGATTATTATTCTCATTATTGTTAAAAAAATTAGAAACCGTAACACTATTTCTCTACTTTGCGTTTAAATTACTCTATTACGATACGCAATCGCGTGTCGTAATAAATACACTAGGTGCCATAATAATTTCACTAAACGTAGTGAAATTTATGTTTTTACTGTTGTCATTACGACACGGAGGAGCTATCTGCTAGCTGTTATAACTGTCTATCATCTTTTTTGTTTAAAAAGGCGCAAAGTAGAAAAAATACTGTATGATACTCGTTTATAAGACATTTTGTTGGACTTACTCCTTTACTAAAACCGTGCTTGCGACAAAATGCTTCTTATAAAACTCCTATCACAATATGCTATTACTGCACTCTGTTATAAAAAGCATGTTGTTAACTATTAACATTTGTAGATATCTGCGAAGAAAGTAATTGTCCAGCTAATTTATGTTGCAATTTCTAGGTCTGCTAGTTCATAGACATGAATTTAATTGTGATATATTAGTATTAGACTTAAAAAAGCAACACGAAATTATTAACATCAGAGCAATTTATTTGCATCGTGCTTTAAAAAATAGTGTTTTGTAACTAAGTATAAGTTACTAATTATTATCATCAAATCTTATCAGCATAATACATATCGTCTCTTAATTATAGACTATTCGCTTCATTTCCTGCTTAATTAAATAAGACACCCATCAGGTCCTCTCGAGCGCTTTCAATGGCGTGTCACGGCAAGTTATTACCTCTGCTGGTACACGATGAAGTCCCACCCATTCCTCGAACATCTCTCGGACAAATGCGATAATTTCGCCAATTGTTTGGACCCCGATTTCGGCCCAAATAACGAAGATCATCGTGCCAACGACGCAATCCCTTACGCCTGTGCCCTCTACAGCTTTTGCCCGGATCCCTGCTGTCCCGTCGAGCACCTGACTAGGCCGGAAAACTGCTGGAACATGCCAGATAACCCCTGCTTTGAAGCTAATCCTATGGGTCAGCGAGAATGTGTCGTGAAGCGTTCTCAGAATACGGACTTTAGGTGGGTATTTAAACTATTACCAGCGACAACAACATGCGGGTGTTGCCTCCACCCGGAATTATCTCATTTTTAAATCTACCTTCCGGGTTTTTCTCATGCTCTAAATTAGACGAAAATGTCAAGTCAGGTTCTCGTATTTCACGGCCGAAACGTGGGCGAGGAAATTACATAAAAAATATTCGATTTCCTGCGTCCTAATGTCGTTACCTTGACTCGGAGATATATAGGTTTGTAAATCACCTGTCAGTACCCAGATGCCCCATATTTGAAAAGACTTAAAAATAGCCAGTGGTTAATAACACCAGTGTTCCATAAAAAAGCCAAGATCCGTAAAATTTGCTACAATTTCTGTTTTAAAATAGAATGTCAGTGTAGCTATATATTTATGAGACAAATTATTCATATAGGTACAGGGTGATTATTTTATGTGTTCAGGCCTGAATACTTTCCTGTAGGCAACACATTATAAGCAACTTTGATCAACCTATTGTTCTTTTTAAATTAGCAATCATACTTAATTAGTAAATGCAACAACACAAAAATCACATTATGTAATAAATGACAACAAAGATGTCAAGCAACTAATAATGGCAAAATTCAAACACAATAGAGCCCAATTTATTCAATCCTAGAACGAATACAAATAAAATAAATAGGTATGCTATAGTAAGTGCTCAAACTGCTCACCTTAACTTTCTTCACACAGCGCTATCCTGCGTTCAAAATTTCTATGTAGTCTAATTAGAATCTCGGGTGTGAAGATCTGTATGACACCACGATCCTTTCGCGTGAATGCCTGAAATGGCATGGGTGAAATCCATTTACCGCAGATGTTACAAACCCAACTCTAAATAATCTGCAATTGTCTTGTGATGTGCCGTTAACTCACGTGAAGATTTTCTTCTATAATTTCAGTCAAGGCAGCTTCATTTTCTGGCGTTATTACTGTACAACGCCTAACTTAGGTTTCTTAAATTGATTAACTTCTCATAACGTTTTTTTAAGTTGTCTAAATGCTTAGTTAGAAGAAATTGAATCGTCTGCCACATACACGAGCGGCAGCATCGATATTTCCTAAAGTTAAATGCATATCGGTTTTTTTTCGGAATTCAAAAACATTGTTGGCAAAAGTAAAAAATAATTTGACTGCTAGAATTACTTTGTCATAATTTTGGTGCAGTCATTATTCTCTACAAGTTATTTATTATTGTTGCACGTAGGGGTTGGCAATTGAAACAGATTGGGCAGTATACCAAATTTATTGGAAGAAAATGTCGCTGGTACGGGTGTTGCTTACAATTATCACTTGTCTGCTACAACTACAACTACTTCTACAACTACTCTTCAACTACTACTTCAACTACTTCTTCAACTACTACCTCTTCAGGTTGCGAGCTAAAAGTTATATATTGACAACTATAGTCATGTGACCGGCCATAGTTGCGGAGTAATGACATGACCTCCTTAATTTTGATTGAATCGATACTTAGCAATCGCGGAAAAGGAAATGCAACTCAACTTAACTTCGAATTCGCTTCTTCCTAACTACGCTTGCACATGCTGCCGCAGCAACCCCAATTAAACAGGATATTTCACAACATTATTTATAAAAAATTTAAGAGGAAGTCGTTTATGGAAAGTAAAATGTGCTGCCTATTCAGACTTATCGAGCCGTGAACAGATAAAATAATCACCCTGTATATTTAAACATTGAAAACTTTCTTCTTTTCTTTAATTTTTTGAGAGGTCCACTCAACTGCTGTTCTTTTTCCTTGCATGAATTAGGCTTTTAACTAAAACAGGTCAGTTAAAACACACACACATTCCTTATATTATTTCTAGCAGCAATGAAAATTTAATTTATTGCAGGTGTAAAACTACAAATTTTGTTTTTTTTTTTTTGTGGCGAAGGAAAAAAACTTCACAACGAAAACTTATATGACGATTCTAGCGACGATACAGTAAATATTAAATTGTTTCATAATTAACACAGATATTACTTCTCGATCGTAAACTAAGGAAATACTGCAATCAAGTCCATATCGGGCGACTGGCTGCGTACATATTTTCTAAATGGGTACTGGTAACTCTTTAACCAAAATGTATCTGTGTATCAACCCCAAAAAATTAATGACGTCATCTAAAAGTTTTGTCGAGTAAATCCAATCTAAAATTTGCAAAATGTGATAAGTCTATACTTGTAATTTATCATTGCATTCATATTTTTTAGATCTGCTTGTACACGGTGAGAACAAAAAATTAAAATCCTTGAAATTTGCTGTAAACTACCAATGGCAACACTGCAAAATAATGATATACTTTCCTTTGTTGGAGGTGTCTGACCATGGTAATGATATTAAACAAACAATGGAAACAAAACAACGAAACAAACAATTCTGTCGTTTAATTTCAAAAATGTATTCCACCAGTGATTGCTGTGATATCTTTTCTATTCTGGGAGCTTGCAATGGAAATTTTACTGCTGTGGCAAGAAAATACGTTAGCCTAGATTAGTATACACATTTTATAAAATATTTGAACGAAAACGTAATTACATAATTTAATAAACAGAAATCATCGCTAAAATTGTTAACAAACATTGCAAAGTTGTAATGTTGGTTAACAATTTTAGCGATTATTTCTACTGATTAAATTATGTACTTATTTAGATTATGAACACTACAATTTAAAAATGCCTTGTAATTCAAATTATTGTTAGTTTTATCTTATTATTAATTTTAAGTACTTTAAAAAATGTGTTTTTGCAAACATTAACATTTTTGTTCTATATTAGATTTTCCTTAAAATTGATTAGGGAATAAGTATATTTTTTGCACTTTATATTATATTTATCAGTAAATTATACAAATTTATAAAAAATGGTCGTAGGTTGTTTCGACGAAACTTCACTCGCCCCTGAAATACAATAGTATGAGTTGATGCGCCATTTTCTGAATAGCCTGCATATATACATATAAAAGTATAAAAGTACCGTTTATAACTATGTGAATAATTTTTTATTATTATATTAGAGCAGTTGCAATGTTGCTAGATTTTAGGATTTGATAAATTAGCGTCACTTATATGAAGTTATTTTCAGAGATATAATTTTAAATAGATGGAATGTGAGCTGTTCTTGTCCGAAAAAAGGCTTCCAATGGAGCTCCTTTTATGGAATATGCATAGATATTGACGAATGTGTGCTAGGAAACCATTCTTGTGACCCGAACAACGAGATGTGCCTTAATTTACCAGGAAGTTTTCAATGCGCTTGTAAATGGGGTCACACCCATGACGCAAAAACTGGAAAATGCAAAGCAAGTAATGCACTTATCCATCTTATTTTACACAATGAAGAACGTGAGCAAGAGAAAACAAATGAAACTCTGTGGAGTAAATTTTTACGTTTATTCGAGGAAAAGTCCTCAAGCAAGGAAACTTCCGTACAAACTAATTTAATTATTGTTTCGTGTACTTTAGTTTACTTTCGTGTGTAATTATCTTAGTAATAAAATATTAGCATTTTGAGAAGAAAATCTATTTAGAGTGTTGTTACAGCGGTGTAACCACAAATTGACTGAAAACAACTATCAAACTTGCTCCAGCTGCTGCTTTCCGATTTAATAGTGCTTAGAAGGAGCGATTTTAGTAACAAACATGTGCAGTGAGAAGACACTATTATTATTACAGCGCAAGCATTGTTTGCACCAAGTGGTGAAGACACTGTAACAACTGCAATACTGAAAGTAAATCTGGTAATAAAGACCACGTGGCTTTAATGTCTGGACGTTCAACTCCACTTTCGAGAAGTCTTCGAACTTGTAATGATGCTTCACTTCAAAACCTAAATATTTAACCTCATTATGTTAACAATGAAGCCTACAGTAATAGAAGTAGTAACACATATAGTCTTACAAGCCAAAACTTTAATTAAGTTTATACCTTCACGAAAACACGCTCTGTATCTATTGAATGTTGTAATGTAAAAGTAAACTACACAACAAAATTACGAAAATGCGAGTATTATAATGAACTTCAGAGTCTTTTATGCTTACCTTTAATTATGTCGTTAATTAAAAGAAGGCATACATAAGTTTGAGAAAGTGCTAAAAATACTTGAATAAGGTAGTCAACCTGAACTTTAAAAGCTTCCATACAAGTTTATTTGAAACCATAATTTTTCTTTAAGACGAAATTGAATCGTGTGTTGTTTACAGAAGAGTCGTAATGCCGATTCATTTTCAGATACTAGAAAAAGTCTTTTATCGGGCCAACTTGAAAGGAGTCGCAGTAAAAATAGGACCTTCCGGGTCACAAATCTTGTTCCCTTACACCAGAACTCCACCTGTACACGGAATACGTTTTATTCGCGTCACTGAGGAAATAAGGTGTTTTTGTGATTTAAAAAAACGTGCTTGCTCTTGTAAAGAACAAAATGTGAAGAATCACTTCACATTTCATCGCAGGTTTATTAATATATATATATACTAAACTTGTTTCTATATATTAATCGTTATTAGATTTACGTTGGTATAGATTACAGCATCTATTATGCGAAGACTTGCTCTGAAGCAATTACATTATATTGAGAGATTTGCGCAACACACTGTCGGAAACTTTACTAGAACGATATTTTAGAACGTTACGCTTTCGAAATTAGAAAAATGTTATTAAGAGCTTGTTGTTTTTTTAAATAAAAATTGTACTTGATTTTAAGGTAAAATTAAATAAAACCAAATTTCACTCCTAAACCGTAATACAAATAAAATTCTTCCTGTCGTTGACGATCTAAAAAAATTGTTTACAATGGACTAACTGTGTAACGTAATAATGCTTTTCGGAAAAAAAGGACAAATCGTGTAGATCTTTAAACACAGTACTTAACACATCCAATTCGGTAGCTGGGCACCTGCATACGCTGCTCTTTATTTTAGACCTTTCTCGGACCCTGCAAAAAATCCGCCGCAGTTTATATGTGGGGATTAAAATATTTTCTCCATCCTGCACTCTACTTTTCGTAAAACTCATGACAAACCTGTCAAAAATTGATCGCATACCCAGTTCCATGCGCGATCTCAACAACCACTGGAAATCGACAGAAATATTCTTTGATTTTTCTATGTTTCCAATTGCAATTTACTGCTAATAAGCAATTTGACTAAAACAGTGAGTCTAATTCACACAATGTCAAAATTGTAGCTTCATTATTGCCTCCATCTAGATATATCGTTGTTTTGGTATTAATTGCATCCACCATTACCTTTTGTATAGTTATTATTGTTCGCAGGAAAATGCAATGTTGTCGGTTTGTAGTGATTTCGTATTCTATTTTCAACCAAATCGTGGTCTGCATGAAAATTGTAATAGACTGTCATTCTTGATAATTAGTTCTTCAGTGTAATAACCAGTTCTGGTGCGCAAACTTGTATATACCTACCGCTCTTTCAAATATTTTTACATTGAAATACGAGTTGTACATGTTTAAAAAGTAAATAAAAGTTTTAAAAGTATGTCCTTTCAGAATTCTACTTGCTCCTGGCTCAGTGTCATTTAGAGTCATTCGCACGGTTGCTAGTTTTTTCAATTTCATAGGGCAATAAAATTTTAATGAGTACAAGACTAACCTTCTTAGAATAACAATGGATATATGGTTAAAATAATCATCTTTCCATGATAATTGTGTAACAGGAACACATTCTTAACAATTTCATATTTAATTAATCTAATTACACACAGATATTTTAGATTTTAGCTATTGATTAATTTAAGATTTCATGAACTTTTTAAAGAGAAATAACAATTTAGGTTATTTAAGATTAATAATATAAGATTTGTAAGTAAGATTAAGTAATAATATACTATTATATTAATATCTATTTTGGTTTTATTATATAAAATTTGTCAAATAACTTTTGCACTTTTATTATTTATAACTTTTGCTTGATATAAGAAGGACGACGGTTTTGTATACCAATAAATTGTATGGTCCGTTAGTGTCAGTTAGAGCGACAATGATCGAACAGCCTTCTCAGTACTGCAGAATTTTTGGCATTCGCAAACGACACATGTCGCTGGCAGTTGTACTTGGGAAGATAGTTCGTCGTCACAGAGAGTAGGTATATACGAGTTGGCTTCCAGGGTCGGTTTTTGATCCTTTGTCGAAAAATGAGTATAGATAAATTGGCTTCGATGGTGCAAGGAGAGTAGATTTTATAATGCCGAAGATCAAATTACGTCCTGATCTACCATCTTTAGGTTGCTGTTGTAGACTGTTTTGCCTTTGATTTTACTGCAATACAACGGCAAAATTCGAAAATACAAAGATTTGCAGATTATCTTATGGATATGTATATTTCAGAGGATCCGATATTCCTTCCAAAATGTGGACTGAATGTGGTTTTGTATGTTGTATATGTTTTGTTTGAGTACTTTCGAAACTTAGATATAAGGAATTCACGTTCGGTAGATGTAACTAGATTTGGTAACTTTTTTTTTTAAGCTGTGTAACTGCGGACATAATTGTTCTAGTGTATAATGTATAACTGGGATGTCAGAAAGTAGGTATCAAAAATGTGACATGTAAGTAAGTAAATGTCAAACATCGAAAATGTGATGGTTTTGTGGTAATCTGCTGAATCTATTTTTGAATCAAGGAGAAAATCACATCCCTCTAAAAGCCCAAAGAGGAACCCGCATGTAAAATTGTTAACCTTTTCCCTTCACTAGTTTTTTTAGGAGGACAAGATTTGATGTCATCATCATGGATCCACAATTTTACCATAGATCCGTTTTGATATATCCATGTCTCATCCAAGGAAATGAAAAGTAAATCTTCATCACTATCACGCAATTGGAGATACCGCCTTATAAATTTGATTCTGGTAGCGTGGTAGCTATAACATATTTAAAATGTGAAAAACTTTGCCGTCGGAAACCTAAATTTATACGTGTATTACGTACAATTATTCTCTAAGCCGAGTGTTTTCCCTCTTACAAAACAATAACGAATAACTGTTTCCGTTTTACCCAAGCGTTGTCCATTTTTCTCTGTAATTTTTTGATAACCACGAAATATTTCTTGTCTCTTTTCCCTTAAAATGGGCTTTCTTGTGACCACTTTTGTGGAAATTGTTTCCACACTGTATTTAAGGGTTTTCTTGAAACGAAGCGTGTTGCAACTAGAAAACTTTGTTTTTTTTCCACACAAGTCAGATTTGACATTTGAATTAGAAAATTAGACAGTTGATGCCAATCTTTAGTTTCTAGTGATCTTAAGATTGCAACTTAACCACAGAAAAGTTTCTGTCAGCTACTTCTACTGAACGTGAATGCTTATTAATTATAGTTTTATTTTGAAGTCGTAGAAAAGGCATAGTATGTAATATCTTTATAAACTTCTCTAGATACTCGTGTTTAAACATTCGTTTCGCTTCGCTCCACTCGTGCTTAAATAATCTTGCGACTAAAGAGACGTTTGTAACACTTGTCACAGGCGATATACTATTTGCGTAAAAAGTCAGTTTCTGTGCTCAAACAAAATATAATAGGAGTAACAAATTTTGAACTTGTAAAATGTATAGCTTATAGAAACAAGCCAAAAATAATAGATATTTATTTTATTAGGAGTTTAAGTGATACTTTACGTGTCGAGTATGAACGATTAAACGCCGAGCGATAGCGAGGCGAATTAAGTCCATACGAGTCACGTGAAGTCACTTAAACTCCGAATGAAATACAATATTTTATTTTCAAACGATTAATCTTCTTTTGAAATGATTATTTCCTATCTTCTTGCTTCATTAAGGAATTGCCTTGATTTCACTTACCATAGTTACTATGGTTGACAACCACTATGATTTTGACATATTTATACTCCGGTGGAGTATAAATGTTTTATTTATACGCCGGCGGAGTATAAGTAGTACTTATACGCCGCTCAAAAACGCTGTCATAGAAATGACACTTTAACCCCGATAAGAGCGTCAGTTATATGACGTTTGAAAATAAATACTATTCAGGTTTATTTTGATTTATTATTTACTTATCTTTGGAACTAAATATATTAGTAACGAAAATAAGAAATACAGGGTTATTCGGCTAAGATGACCTATTTATGTTTTGAAACTAGGCAACCCAAAATACCGATTCACCTGAATCTGGATTACAAAAAATGTTTCAGAATTAAATTGTATCAAAGTTTGCTAAATGTATAGAAACTTCAGTGTTGACGTTGGTCAGTGTCAGAAAAACGCCTATGCATTCAATAACGAGAAAACCGACATGATCCTTGGTTATAGACACGTTATGAAGAATGACACACAAAGGCTAGGCGTACAGCACAATTGTATGCCCGAAGATATCCTGACCGTGTGGCCCCAACAAGAGAAAACGGAACCAGACTGCGAATAGCTTGGAAAATGAAGTATAACTTCTTGCACAAGTTAATGAGAATCCTCATATGGGAGGGAGTTATGGGACAAATTGCTATTGCTAGACAAACAAATAAATTTCATCCTAACCGCTCTAGCCATCTGCACCTGGAGCATGCACTTCGACCCACAAACTAACCACAAAGATTGGATTTTTATAACTTTATAAGAAACCAAGTGCAAATTAATCCCAATTTTATTGAGTATGTTTTCTTCAGTGATGAAGCCTAAGTCAGTAATTTATTACAGTTGCATGACAGTCTTAAATTTATTGAAATGTGTTTCGTTCACCTACCAATAAAAAAACACAATTTGCCCACAAAAATCTCTTTTAGATTACGCAAACATGTCGGTTTTCTCGTTATTATCGTAAGAATGCATAGACATTTTGCTGACACTGACGTTTCTATACACTTACAAGCAAACTTTGATACAATTAAGTTTTGAAACATTTTTTGTAATCCAGGCTCAAGTGGAACCGGTATTATGGGTTGCCTATTTTAAAAACACAAATGGGTCATCTTAGCTGAATAACCCTGTACATGTATATAAGAAGAAAAATAACAACAATTTGTTAAAATTAAAAATTTTGTGTGCAATGTTCAGGTGCGGTCCTTTGCCATTCTACCTGCTTTGTCTGGCAGGAGATGGGAGCCAACTATGGTATGTGTAACAGGAGCTAATTCAGCTGTTAGTCAGGGTCCAAAGTGGCTGCGGTAGCTAACTACTAGGCGTTTGTCACGCATTCACTCGGCTAAATCCTGAAACCTGCCTATCATCTACAAACAATCAGTTTAACAACATTACCCACAAAAGTTGACATCCTGATCACGACAGCGACTTCTTCCACATCAAGTTTCTACCGTTAAACCCATACGATAGAAACAACCGACTTTTACTTCCCGAGCGAAAGCTAAGGAAGTATAGTAATCGAGTCCATCAGACGAATGGCCACTTTTATATTTTCTCGACGTTTCATGACCCCTACAGTACGAAAAAAGTAGTCTCCCGTTTCCGTCTGTATGTCTGTGTCCATTTTTATTAGACACGTTGTATGTATATCAGAAATATCATGTAGATGGTTAAACGCTAACCAAAATTTGGCTAATGATCCCCACCAACAATTTGATTGTGTCATTTCAATGAATGGTATTTTAAAATGATTTGAATGTTACACAAAAATATACTCATGTAGTTGTAGTGTCCGAATGCGCTTTCAGTTTTTTCGAAAAAAGTTCAAATTTTCACGAAAACATTTGCAAGGTATATTCACGTTTTATTCCCAACACGGTTTGTACGTCTCCATGGCGCAGTGGGTGTATCGGACAGAACAACAACTATGCGGTACTGCGATTATGAGTTCGATGCCGAACTTGGCCGTCTCCTTTTTTTTTTCAATGGTGTAATGCTGTAAATATTTTTATTTTGTGCTGTGACTAGAATTAACCATGTTGATCATGTCATCACAAATTTTTTATTGGTCAAATTAAGAACGAGTCACCCCATTTTCTCGAAAATGCAAAGAATACGCACGTCTTTATATAATAATGATAAAATAAGATTTATAATATTCAGAACATTTTGTTCGATTGTGGTTTAATTAATAATAATTTTAATTCTATTTTGAGAAGACAAGTTCATTCAAATTAAACTACTTTCTACTGAGATTCTTTCGATCTATAAACATGAATAAGCACTTGAGCTTCAGATTGCTATTCGTAAAATCAAATTTTATAATTTTTTTAAACAGCTGAATTTTCGGATTATACTTACAATAGCTTTCAACCAATTTTTACTTCCCGAGCCTAAGCAAAGGAAGTATTGTAATCGAGTCCATCGGCAGACTCTCTACTTTAACAATTTCTCGACCTTTCATGACACCTAGATTACGAAGAAGTAGGTCTCCCGTTTCCGTCTGTCTGTCCGTCTGTCTGTCCGTCTGTCTGTCCATCTGTCTGTCCGTTTGTCTGTCCGTCTGTCTGTCCGTCTGTCTGTCCGTCTGTTTGCCGTCCCGCATTTATATTAGACAGAAACTACTGGGCCGATTGTTGTCAAATTTTGTATTTATATTAGGAATATCGTGTAGATGGTAAAACGCTAACCAAAATTTGTCTAATCATCCCCACCACTACTGTGATGACGTCACTTCAAAATTGTACATAGTAAATGGATTCTAAAATGTATAAAATAACACAATCCTACCCATGTAGTGTATAACTCTGAATATACTTTTTACCAAAAACGTCCAGATTTTTTTGAAAAAAATCCAAATTTTGAAACAACATTTTGTAATTTAATTTGGAATCTGCAAAACCGAATGCTTTGAAATCTTGCAGACGGTTTATAATTATGATTAACATAATGAATTTTTAATCAAAATATATTTACTTATCCCCTCCAAAAAATTGATGACGTCAGTTCAAAAGTTTGCCGAATAAATCCTACCTAAAATGTACAAAATATGATATGTCTGTGCTTATGATTTATCATTCAATTCAAATTTTTTGAACTTGCATATACAGGGTGACTCAAAAAAATAATAAATGCGTGAATTCATTCTATTGATTTAATCAGGAACTACAAAACCGAATGCTTTGAAATCTTGGAGGTGTTTTAAAGTTATTATAAGGATAGAAAATTTTTGATCAAAATGTACTTGCTCATCGCCCCTAAAAAAATGATGACGCTACCCTAAAATTTTGCTGAATAAATCCTATCTAATATGTACAAAATATAATGAGCCTGTACTTGTGATTTATCATTCCAATCAAATTATTTCGATTTGCATATACATGGTGACTCAAAAAAATTAATGAATGCGTGAATTTATTCTATTGATTTAATCAGGAACTATAAAACCGAATGCTTTGAAATCTTGGAGATGTTTTAAAGTTATCATAGGAATGGAAAATTTTTGGATAAAAATGAATTTGCTCATCCCCCCCTAAAAATTGATGACGTCACCTCAAAATTTTCTCTTAAATGTGCAAAGTATGATAAGTCTATACTTGTGATTTATCACTGCGTTAATATTTTTTGATGTGCTTATAAAGGGTGTCTTAAAAAATTAATGACTGACTCAATTTATTTAATTTTTCAAAGAAGCGGGATTTGTGGCACTGTATTGATCAAATTGAGAACCTGATTTTTTATCTTTGCTTATATTATCTCACAAAAAAACTAATGAATCAGTCGATTTATTTTATTGAATAAATTAAGAATTACAAAACTGAATACTTTGAAATGTTGCAGACGGTTTGAAGTTATTGTAAGCATGGTAACTTTCTAAGTAAAAACCTCAAAATCTGTCTGTTTATCAATCCCAAAAAATTGATGACGTCATCTCAAAATTTCGCCGAATAAATTCTACCCAATGTGCAAAATTTGATGAATTGTTACTTGTGATTTATAACTGCATTCATATTTTTAAATCTGCTTAGACAGGTGGCTCAAAAAGTTAATGAATGTGTCAGTTTATTTTATTTTATTGATTAAATCAAGAACGGCTCAGTCCATTTTCCCATAAAATTTTGCGGATACAATACTGTTACTTTTAGTATTACACTGCACCAATCCAAGTTGATATACATGTACTTGCAAAAATGTTGATGAACGTCATCGCAAAATTATGTAAAGAAAAAACTGAACTCGAAAATGCTGGATATGTTTCATTGTACTTCAGGAACGAGGCAAGTTCTGTTGAAACAACTTTCGACCATTTTTTTTTTGCTATGATGATTGATGTGGCTAACGTCATGCATACAACTGAGTCAGTTCCGCTCTATTCACCTCCACCGAATTTTAAATCTCTGTAGAAAGGTCTCAAGAAGTACTAAATTTTACAACAATATTGATTTATTAAAAAACTTCAATTTTTACAGATTTCTGCACACCATTTGTTAAATTCTTAAATAAATACTCGAAAGCCAGTTGAATAAAGACTTATAAAACAACCGTTACAGTGCAACTGTATCGCAAGTTGGAATTTATTAATTCTTTGGAGTTGTAATCGGCATAGAAAATAATGCCCCACCGATATGTTTCATTCGAGATAGTGTAGCTTCAATCATTAGTAGGTACCCACAGAAAACTATACATAGTGCAGTTTTACAAAAATCATAAAACAATTGTCAAGCAGCAGGATTGCCCAAATTCTTGTATTTTCATCAAACTCTTTTCTGACAAGTCCACCCCACGTTTTTTATGGACGTATTGTGCCAGGAAATTTTTAATCGATACAACATAAATCTTTGGAATTACCGAAAATATAAGACAATAAATCAGGTTTGGAAGGCGGCAAGGTGGGCCGTCCGAAGAGTAATTAGAGATCGATAGGCCGTAAATCTTGACGGTAATATTACCGTAGGTTATGCAGCAGCAACGGCATCCATGCCCTTCCGGGGATGACCGACTGACCCTTATTCGTCTCTCTCCCTCAGATTGAGGCGACATAAACGCTTCCCGACTGGAATTGAGCCAGCAGATAAAGAATTAGAGAGGCTGTCCCTAAAACCACGGCGATTCAGGTAACGGTAACTGCCACTAAAGTGTCTCATCTGCAATTCCCTCTGATAAATCACCTGGCGATAAATTTAACCCGTCGTTCTATCTACCTTAATGAACTACTTTACACACCACTGCTGCCACAGAGATGGCCGATGTACCAGACGGTGCATTCGCTCAGATTCATCGATTATCAGACATAGAAGGATTCTTCGATGCTTATCTGAGTCTGAGACATGGTCGACTGCGTTATTTCATACAGAAAAGACACATTGGAAGAGATTTGCATATTTTACAAGTTAGTAAACCTTTTCCCGTATTCAAAACTGATGCATGTTGCATTCACACGTTCTTTTTACAAAAATCGTCCTGATTTCGCATTTTAATCTTTCTCTCGATAAATATATCGCTTTTTACCTAATCGTTATCATTTTTTGTTGTATTAATTTTTCACATGTTGTAAATTAAAATCGAAAT